CCCTCCCCTCCAGAACCCTCAGTTTGTTTCTCAGAGTCCATCGTCTCTCATGGTTCGTCTCCCCCTCCGATTTCCCCCCTTCGTTCTTCCCCTCCTGCTGTCGTCTTCTTTTTTTCTTTTTTAACATATAATGTATTATTTGTTTCAGAGGTACAGGTCTGTGATTCAACAGTCTTACACACTTCGCAGCACTGACATTTATTTCATCAGTTTGGCTTTCTTCAAACGTTTAAAAAAAAAAATGCACCTGCATCCCTTTTGTGGTGGGAGTTCCTGGGAATTCCTTGGCTTGTGTCTGCCTCAGAGAGTCAGTTTGGGAAAGGCAGCCTGACCGCTCATGGACTTCACGTTAACAGCGGGCAGCCACGCCGTCCTGTCCATCTTGCCCCCCTGAGCCTCTCACGCTGATGGCCGTGTCCTTGCCCGCAGCCATTGAAGCCATGAAGAATGCCCACCGGGAGGAGATGGAGCGCGAGTTGGAGAAGAGCCAGAGGTCCCAGATCAGCAGCATCAACTCGGACATCGAGGCCCTACGACGACAGTACCTGTGAGTCAGCTTCCTGCCCACTGGAGGCGGCCCTTGCGGGCCAGGCTGGAGGGAAACTGTGCATGTGGGGACTGGCACCTTTCCTGTGTCTTTTTAAGAGCCACAAAGACATGGGTCTCAAGGGTGGGCATTGGCGGAGGCCCAAGGGTTCTGAGGGCAGTTCCAAGCTGCCCTTCCTGAGGGGCTGAGCACCTTCCCACAGTCATCTTTGGTTCTGCTAGTGGAAGAAGCAGTCCTTTCCAAGGGGTCCAGGGTGACTGAGAACAACGTCACGAGGCTTTGATTTTCTGAGCGTGGATAGAGTCTGGTCCTGGCGTATCGGACACAGAGCACCTCAAAAGTTAGGGCGGAAAGCAAGCCACAAGTGTGACTTCTCTTCCTGACATCATGGGAGTTTTGTCTGTTGGACCGTTAAGCTCCTTGAAAGAGGAGAAGGGAAGGATGCAGGAGAGATTCTGTGAGCCTGCAGTACTTTGAAGTGCTCCCTTTTTTAGCTGGGTACCAATTCGCTGAGACCACAGAACGCATGGGGCCTGTCCTCTGCTCAGCTCTTTGGGGTGTGTCTCGTCGTTCCTCAAGTTTCGCAAAAGGGACTCACAGGGCCTTGTAGAGGCCTGGGCCAGGGGTGTGGGCAGAGGCATGAGCCGTGCCCTCTCCCCAGGGAGGAGCTGCAGTCGGTGCAGCGGGAGCTGGAGGTCCTCTCGGAGCAGTACTCCCAGAAGTGCCTGGAGAATGCCCACCTGGCCCAGGCGCTGGAGGCTGAGCGCCAGGCCCTGCGGCAGTGCCAACGTGAGAACCAGGAGCTCAACGCCCACAATCAGGTGAGCCTGCAGCCGGCGGGGGAGGGGGGGAACCCGTCCTGGAGTTGGGAGCCAGGCCCCACCTGAGGTGGCCGCCCCTCTGCAGGCATCTCCCTGATGTCTGACATTCCCCAGTATGGTGACAGAAACTCACTGCAGGTGGTGGAGCTGGGGCCGTCTACTGCATGAACCAGCTGTTTAAATTTGGACTCATTTGGTCTCTAGCCCTTTTGGGATCTCTGAGATGTCTCCGTTTCTCCTGAGCATCTCTGGATTTCTGCTTCATCACTGCTAGGCAGGACCTGAGAGGGAGGGTCATTGCACCTGATCCAAGTCTCCTGCCCCTAAGGCTGGGACCATTTTTAAACGTCCGCCTGTCAAGACCATACTCTGTTCACATTTTTTTTGGTCAGATTATTCTCTTAAAATTTGCCTGTTCTTCAGAAAATTGAGGTGCATTTAAAATCCTGGCTAGGGGAAAGACTCGAGGTGGGTTAGTTTGATAAAAGCTTCTGTGACCTGCCAAGTTGGACCACTGTCTGCGTGACCCACCGGCTCATCCACCCCAGGCACTGAGTAGACAGATGTGCTGGCCAGCTCCAGGCTCGAGGTCTCTGGGCCCCGCTCACCCCGTGTGACGGCGCTCGGGCAGGACTGGTTCCCGCTAGTCACTGCAGTGGCCTAAGATGACCACTTCTCAGTTGGAAACAAGGCGCAGAAAGTGAGCGGGAAGGCGGCAAGAGGGCCCACCCCTCCAGAAACTCAAGGTGGACAAGCCGTGAGATGCACGGATACTAGTGACGGTGACAACAAGGTATTGAGGACTTTGGAACCCTGCGTCCGCAGTTGCGCCAACACAGCGCGTGAACGGCTGTTGCAGGGCTGTGCGTCACAGGCAGCGGCCGCCTTGCACGGTACATCGAAAACGCCGCGGTGCGCGTAAGCCCGTGCTCCCCTCCGCTCACACACGTGCCCCTCTTCTGGTGGGGAAGCGGCCTCTCCGCTTCTGTCGTGTGAGGGCTGCCCCCAGGCGGCTCTGAAGCCCCCCTCCTTGCTGTCCCGCAGGAGCTGAACAACCGCCTGGCTGCGGAGATCGCACGGTTACGGACGCTGCTGACCGGGGACGCGGGCGGGGAGGCCGCTGGCTCCCCGCTCACACAGGGCAAGGATGCCTATGAGTTAGAGGTACTGCTCGGAGCCCCTTCACCCCGCTCTGCAGCATGCAGGCCCCAAGCGGGGACCCAGAGGTGGCCTCAGCTTACGGGGTCATGGCAGGGATGAGAGCTGGAGACCGCAAGAAGGACGTGGAAGGATCCAGATCGCCCCAGGCAGCAAAAGAGAATAGCTGCCAGGCAGTGTGGGGTCCACAGCAGGAGTGGGGACCCCTCGTGAGGAGGCCACGGGGACCTTTAACCCCGTGCCCAGTTTCTGCACACCACAAACACCGCCCACCTGAAGTGAAACGTTTCCTAGCCCTGTGAACACCACAGCTGCTCACGGTCCATAGCGCCGGATTACTGGGGCAGGGAGGTTTATTTTAAGTCAGAACGATTGATTCTTACACGTTTTTATAAAAGCACTTAGCTTTTTCCCCATTCAGTTAACATTTCATCGTGAAAATCTGCTCAGTGATGTGGGAGAGGCTGAGAGACTCCAACAGTTTCAGCAGGATGCTTTCATGGGCCCTGGCCCGGGTGCTCACTGTGGCCCTCAGGCTGAGGAATGGGGTTCTCGGGTCTAGGAGGGATCACGGTGATTTCTTTCTGTTTCTCTTTGTGATGGGCCAGCTGTTAGCAATGGTGAAGTGTGTTTGCTGGCATTTGTGGTTGCATGTCACTGGGGCGGGGGGGGGTTCCCTGCTCGGCCGTCATCTTTGCTTTTGAGACTCTGGAAGTCCCTTTGCTCCTCAGCGTCAGCCCCTAATCCCTCTGTTTTTCTAGGTCTTACTGCGGGTCAAGGAGTCAGAAATACAGTACCTGAAACAGGAGATCAGCTCTCTCAAGGATGAGCTGCAGACAGCGTTGCGGGTAATGGCGCCTCCCCGCGGGAGACAGGTCTGAGGATGGCTCAGGGCCGAGTGGGGACACCGGTCTCCAGAGCTCACAGAGCTCCAGAGCTCTCTTGCGTTCAAACTGTAGGCTCTTCGAGAGTAGATTTCATTCTTACGGGGAATGTGGTTTCAAAAGTGAGCTCTCGTAAAACGCCAGCCTTGTCAGCACGTGTAGTAAAACTGAGGTCTCGCTGTGTTCCTGTCCTCCATGCCTCCTATGTGCTTTGGCAGGGACCGTGAGACCAGAGACAAATGTCGTCCTGGAAGGTGAGAGCTGGCTGAAGCCCACCCTTCTGCACCAGGGCACTCTTGGAGGCAGGGAGAAGATGAGGGAAGCCCTGGTGGCCATTCAGTCACTTAGGAAATCCAAGACAGGGGCACCTGGGTGGCTTAGTCGGTTAAACGTCTGCCTTCAGCTCAGGTGGTGATCCTGGGGTCCTGGGATGGAGCCCCACGTCGGGCTCCCTGCTCAGCGGGGAGTCTGTCTCTCCCCCAGCTCATGCTCATGCACTCTCTCTCTCTCAAATAAATAAAACCTTAAAAAAAAAGAAGAAGAAGGAAATCTAAGAGGGTGGTTTCCAGAAGGTCTGCGGGGGGTCAGGGCCACGACTGTGCTTGCCAGAGCTCCTGGGGATGCTCGCTCTGCATCCAACAGAGACTCTCGGCCCTGCCTGTTTCACTTCATAATCAGTTTCGGCCTCTGGAGGACAGGGGTCCCCTGCCTCCCCGACTGCGGATGGCACCCCCCCCAGTAATTCTGCAGAGCGTTCCAGCCCCGGGGAGACGGACCGCCCAGCCCGGCCCTAACCACCCCTTGCTTCTGCCCTTTCTTCTCAAGGACAAGAAGTACGCTAGTGACAAGTACAAGGACATCTACACGGAGCTCAGCATTGTGAGGGCAAAGGCTGACTGTGACATCAGCAGGTTGAAAGAGCAGCTGAAAGCAGCGACGGAAGCACTGGGTGAAAAATCCCCCGAAAACACCCCTGTGTCGGGATACGGTGAGTTCCCTGGGCTCCGGGCCAGGACCCCGTAGCTTGTGGTCCGAGTGTGTTACTGGCGCTGCCAGGAAGGCAGAGGAGCCCGGGTCTGTATTGAGACGTGCATTTCGTCACTGAGAACAACCGGAGGGGCGCCGGGCCCCGGCCTCTGCGGGCGAGCTGTCTTCCTCCCGGCAGGCCGTGAGGCGTCCCCGTACTCACTGCCTTGAGGGGACGTCGCGCTGTCCGCGTGATTTTCATAGGAATCCCAGTTTGCATTTGTGCGTTTTCCTGAAGAAAGTCAATAGTTCAGAGACGGCAGCTGTCACTAAAGTAGTTACTTGATCCTGAGCCTTGACCATAGAATCTGCAAGAGGCCGTGCGAGTGGGGGAGGGGCAGGGAGGACACAGCTCCTGACAACATGTGTAAATCACTGATACCCAGAAAACGACCCTGTTTTCTCTCAGCCGGCCAAGCAGGAGCGATCGTGGCCGCACGGGCGCGTAGGCAGACACAAGGTCACTTGCTGGAGGACGAGTCGGCTGTCTTTCTGGAATCAGTCAGGCGATACCCGAACACCACTCAGCAGCAAACTGTAGACTAACTCTGGAAGCCAGGTCACCCAGTGACAACAGTGGCAGCTCCTGAGGGGGAGCCCGGGGTGGCCGGGGCCGTGGAGAGAGGAAGGCCTAGCATTTGGGGGTGGGTGCAGAGCTCCTGTGACCTGCCAGGTGACCTGAAGAACGTGTGCACGGAAAGATGCCAACGAGGAAAGGTAGCATTTGCAGCAGATGGAGGCCCATGGCTTTCACAACACCGTGAAATACCAGCCGTTCTTAAGAGAAACCAGGTAGACGTTTCTGTTTTGACCTGGAACGAGATCCATCAGTAGGATATACCAAGTGCAACCCCCTGCTCCCAGCAGGACACGCGGCGTCGGGGGACCCAGTATACATTTGTTTCGTAGCCATTTTTAAGGAGTCTGAAGGACTTTACCCCAAACTGAATGGTGGTTGTCTCGGTGGGGGCGGATTACGACTCTTGCTCTTCTGCTTTATAACAGTGCTGGGTTGCCAGGAGGAAGGTGGGAGTAAGTAAGTGACGGGACCAAAACGTCCCCGGCCCTCCCGTGCAGACACAGACGGAGGAGCCTAGCGCAGGGCCGCACAGACGTCCTCTGGCCAGTCCAGGAGCTAGCGTGTTTTATGGTCATTGGCTTTGTTTTCTCTTGAAGTTGTTTAAGGAACTGCCATAGGTGTGTGGTGATAACAGTAAGCCTGGGAGATTTTTGAACAGTCTGGTTCCACTGGGTTTTATAAAACAAAAGTAATCGGTCCATTTGTTCCTTCAGATATAATGAAATCTAAAAGCAACCCGGATTTCTTAAAGAAAGACAGATCCTGTGTCAGCCGGCAACTCAGAAACATCAGGTCCAAGGTGAGTGTGGGGTGCAGCACCAGGGTGTGGGGGGCTCTCGGACGTTAGAGAGAGGAGCCGGGGTCAGAGCCCACCACGGGCCGCAGCAGGGGTTCCCCGGTCCCAGAACGCCTCTGGCTCCACATGCCTACCTGCTGGGCCAGTTCTGGTGACTTCAAGCCCTGTTTCTCCTTCGTGCTGAAGTGGAACTGATTTCTGGACAGTGACAGTTGAGGGGCCAGGCCTACAAGAAGCAGGGCTTGCGGTGAATTCGACCTTGGACCTCCAAGGCCAGATTTCCCCCCAGACCCCCTGGGCCAGCCCCACTCTGTCTGCACTTCTTCACGTGGCCCTAATGTAATACTGATGCCGCACCTTCAAGAGAGGAAGCTGCCTACACCCCTTCCCTCAGCCACAGAGCAGCGTACCCCAGCGTGTCCCTTGCCCGCTGCGCGCCTCCCCACGGAAGGGACGGGCGGAGGGTGGGAGTAATGAGCATGTTGCATTTAGGATTTATTGTGTGTGTGTCTTATGTTTTGCTCTTTCCTCTGACAGTCCGTAATTGAGCAGGTCTCATGGGATAACTGAAACGAGCCCGCTTCCAGGTCCCCTGTCATGTAGGTAAACCGCCTCTCACCACCCACCCACCTGCCACCCTCGAGGGGGTGGCTGCCTGCATGCACTGCTCACACCTCCATAGCAAGCTCCTTGTTTTATTGTTACTTTATCTGCTCCGGCAAGCACATACACCGTCCCGGTCAGGTTTCTTTAACCTGTTCTGGGGACTTAACTGGCCCTTTAACCTCTTCCCAGAGTTGACCCGTTGCCGAGGGGAGCCCCCCCAGCTTGGCAGTCGGCCCACAGAGGCAGCGTCTCGGCTGGGCGTGGGCCTGGGAGCAGCCCCGGCCCCAGTCAGCGTGCATGGCGATCTGTGCTTTCCACGTTCTCTGCGGAAACCCTTCTTGCCCTCCGTCGAGAGAGGCCCTGACAGAGACCCAACAGCCACTGACAAGCAGTCTGCCATCGCTAAGAACTGCCCACCGAGTTAGCTCACAGGCCAAGGCCGGGCGGAGCCTGGGTTTCAGGGAGCTGGGGCCTGGTGGGCATGGCCGGGAAAAGGGCTCAGCAGAGCAAGAGGACTAGGAGGGACTGGGGCGGAAGGGTTAGCAGCACTTTTTTTGTTTTTGGTTTAACAAAACAAAAGCTTCTCTCTGGGTGCCAGCGAAGGCAAAGATACAAAGAAAGGAGGTGTAGGGGCACCGAAGTGCTGGCTGAGAAACATCAGCCTGTTGGCAAATACGCAGAAGGACAGTGGGGCACATGCCTGGACCGTCCCCAGTCTCCACACCAGGCCGTGCATCCCAGGCACCCGGCCGCTCACTGCACAGTGTGCTTCCGGCTGAGCTGACTTGATCTCCGTAATTCTCTGACGGGAAGATTAAGAACCGCAGGAGGAACCCCAGGGCTGGGACACGCGCCTGGCCGAGGGGACACTGACATGGGCCCAGGGCCGCACAGCACGGCTCCTTTTGTTAACCTGCCTGGGGCTCACGCTCATGCGGGATCCGCAGTCCACCATCCTCTGGCTAAGGGGCTGTGGCTAAGGGGCTGTAGCCCAGTGGCTTGGGGGAAATGGGTTTGCTTTAGGAAGACGTTTAGGAAAATCCCAGATATTTTAAACCTAGTCAGTTTGGTTTTATTTATTCTTCTACAGCCCCAAATCACTTATAACCAAGTATGGTTTAGGGTTGATTGTAAACTTGGTTTGGGCTTTTTCCCTAAACATGAAAAGCATTCTGTTTAGCAAAAGTAGAACCTGTTCTTTGGTTTATGGTTTTCTTATTAAAAGATTCTATTTTCTATTTGAGGTTGAGCTGTAGCTGTTACGACTTCACTGTTAATGATTTAGGCCTTGTGCCCATGCTGTAAGTGACAGTCTGTGAAAAACCTCTCGCTCCCTTCTGGAAAGCCTTGCTGCAGTGTGGCCACCCCGTCAGGATAGAGTACGTGTCTGAGTCCCTGTGGGGGAATAAAAATGCACGGGATTCTGGAGCAAAGGGCAGAAAATCAGTGAAAAGACCTTTATCAAAAGGGCCTTTGCGGGGGGTGTGCTGGGAAAAACCTTTTATGCCGGCCAGGAAAGAGCTAAGGCAAAGGTAGAAAGTGAGGTAAGCGGTCAGGCACGCCCACGAAGGTCTGACTGGGCCTCCAGGGCAGCCTCAGACTCTCAGAGGTGCCAGGCCCCAGACAGGAGTGGTAAGAAGCCCGGGAGTGGGGGTTTTCCAGATGTCTTTGAGTCCACGTTTGGCTTGGCCGAGTTTCCAGGGTGTCGGGTAGGCACAGTCCCGCTGGTGTGTGTAGAAAGACGGGGACCTTGCAGAGTCCTTAGGGACACGTGTTGTGACGCCAAGCAAGGCTGGACCTGTTCACGATGTCAGCGGGCGCTCACACTCAGATGTGTGCTGTCCTTTTCCCTGACTGTTTCTGGAGACCCCCCACCACTGCCGCCACCGCCACGGGGAGACCGGGGAACGAAGTTGCCCAGAAACCAAACCTGTCATTGGTGCTCTTTGTTATGGGATCTGATATGTACTGTTTTCTGTCCTTTATCGATGTTCTGTGTCTGTATCCTGCCTCACTCAAAAGGATAGAAAGTCTGGGCACCCAAAAAGTCAAGGCAGGCTCATTGCTTAAAAGCATCATGGCTTTTCTGGTATTGAGCCCAGAGCAAACCTTTCTCCACGGGGTTCTCATGGAGGCCCCTGTCTGGTAGTCTGAGTATGGGGTCACACCGGCGCTTGGTGGAGAGACCAGCCGTGTGGGAGGAATGAGCCACGGTGCACCCCAAGGACCCTTCTCTGGGTGCGCAGGGTCAGTGTGGGGGTTCCGTTCTTCCTGCCCATACAGCTCTAGCGTACAGCAGTATGTGGTCCTGGGCGCACAGCCTTGGGTCCCCCTCGTCGCCCTGCTCCCCAGCTACAGTCCTGAGCACAGCAGGACTCTCAGTACCCACGGTCAGGACGTTCGCTGTCCCTTGGACGTCCTCAGCTAGAACAAAGCGGTGTGGCACGTGACAGGCCTGCCCGTGGGCCTGGCACTTAGGAGTGGGGCCTCCCACATCGTGGCCGTGCGTGCCCAGCACCTGTCCGAGACCGACTGCCTGAAGCACTCGGCAGAAGACCCGAGAGCATCTGAGGCAGTTATGTGCATTAAGGGAATTTCAGCTTCAGAATGGGACATGGATTTGCCCCCATCCTCCGACCGACTGGGTAGCAAGCTTCAGCAGTGACCCTAACCGACTGCTTATGTTGAGGTTCATCTGGACCAGTGGGTTTCAGAAAGGTTAGCCATAGAACCCTTTATTTAAAACAACAACAACAACAACTTTATTCATTTACACACATACAGCTCCACGGTAGAGAAAGCAAGCAGAGCTGTTCTGGGACTGGGCGGGGACACTGGGACCCACCCGTCTTCCCTCAAACCTTGCAGGCAGCCGGGTCCCACAACGCGTGCTCTGAAGCATCAGGCTGGGCTCTCCAGGCCGCAGGACCAGCACGGTGCTCTGATTTGGGGCTAAAAGTGGTGTAGTCGTCTGGAGCCTGTACCTTCATGAGCTCCAGCACGTGCCGGCCAGCCCCGGGACCTGGCAGTGGTGTTGAGACTTGCCACAAAGACCCCATGGCCGCTGAGGAACCAGCCCCATCCCAGCCAGTGCTGGAATATCCTCAGCCATGCCCCGAAGTGATCTTCCGTTCCTCACTGAGAAATTAGATCTTTGGGAAAAGCCTCCAAGAGTAAAGCGGGACATGTTTTCTCCCCGTTAGGAAAGCGGCACATCCTCGAACCCACAGATTTAAACTTCGCCCGAGGTCACACATGAGGAGAGTATTGGCTTCACGTTCTGAAAATCTTAGTGACTACGTTGACGGGTTCCCAGATCCCCAGTCCCAGCAAACCGCCCCCCGCCCGAGCTGCTGCTCAGGGAGCGCCAGGAGCGGGCCCCCGGCCGCGAGCTGTGCAGCCCTCCTCCCAACGCTCAGCGTCATGGTCACTGAGGAGCCAGAGGTGGACAGGCCCCCCCCGGGAGGAGGACATGGATGGGCGCATTTCTAGTTCTTGGCACAGCTTTTGCCCCTGGCTGAATCGATCTGATCGCTGCTTGTCTAAAGAGCCCTAAGCTCAGAGTTCAGCTGCTTACACACATGGTCTGTTTCTCTGGTTTTTTCCTTTTTCATCCAGATAACACCGTTTCACAGGGGACGTCTCTCTCCTTAGCATGCCCCACTAATCTCTCGAGGAGCCCTTCCTGCCCCGCCCCGCACCCCGGCCCCCCGCACCGCCGCCTGACTGCAACCGCGCCCACGGCGCCGGGCCCGGTGGTTAACGGTCTCTTTCTTTCTCTCCTGCTCTCCTCTCCACCCAGAGTCTGAAGGAAGGCCTGACGGTGCAAGAACGCTTGAAACTCTTTGAATCCAGGGACTTGAAGAAAGACTAGCCGTGTCCCGTTCCACTTGAACACACACCGTTCCCAGCCTGCGGCAGCGCTGCCCTATACCTTTATTTTTTATTATTATTGTTGTTGTTACTGTTGTCATTAACTGTGGGTATGGATGCATGAGAGACTGGTTTATGGGTTGTTCACACCGTTCTCTGCTGTGTTGATTCCAGCTTCCTATGTCTTTGTCAAAGCTTTTCTTTTTCCGTGGTATTCTCAAATTAGCCAAGCAGCGGGGGCCAGGAGGGCTGTCCGCTCCCGACCGGGGTCTGCGCAGAGCCCCCACCCGCCGCAGTCCACCGCACTCACTGTCAGTATTAAGGCCCAGCAGCCTGTCGCTAAGCTAGCTCGTCCCGCCAAGTGCACTGTGCGGAGTCAGGGCCCGGGCGGCTCTCGCTGTGCTGCGTGTGGGCCCCGCGGGGAGAGAACAGGGCGTCAGGTGGCCGCGGGAGGAGCAGGTTGGGGGGCGTGGTCCGCAACCTCCATTCACCACCTCTGGCTTGGGAGAAGGACAGCACTTTGTACTTGTCCCACTCCTTCAGCTTAGAGCCACACCCAGGTCATCGTGGGGAACCTTTCACAACCTGGAAAATGTCGAAAGCAGCCATTCCTATTTCTGTTTGTTTTTTTATTAAATCTTGCACAAAACCCCGGCCCCTCTCATTCCTTCCTACGCTCGTTCCTTTCTTGGTCACTAGCAGCCCTGGTCTTTTCGTAAAGACTTAGAGTGTTGACCTGCAGCCCGGGGTTTCAGACTGAGCACGTCGTTATGAATTCCCTCGGGTAGTCAGTCCTTCGAAGGGAAAGTCTGTTCGTGTCTTGAACCTTTCTGAAAGCAACCTGCACATTCCTTTTGAGAAGGCTGAGGGAAGACCCCTGTGTTAAGTCAAGAAAGTACAGAGGATGTCGGAATCAGATGAAAACTGCCATTACATGTTTTTAACTCTAACCTGAAAAGTGCTCTTGCAGCATTCAGAGAGCCCAGAGTAAACCTATACTAACAAAGTTGCTTTTTCTACCCGTCAGAGTAAGACCTTTTAACTGTCCGGAAACACTGCAGTAGTTCTCGAGAATCTCCTGCCCTGGGGTTTGTGTCACGGCCCAGGCAAGTGGCAGCCGTGTTGTGGCCCTCGGGGCAGGCGGGGAGCGTCGCCAAGGAGGGTGCGGGGGGACCTGTTTTGATCTCGCTGTGTCAGCGCCTCCGTTAGGTCGGCAGGCCCTGGGCACATGGGTGCTTGGGGGTGAAAATGGAGAAGTCACCGTGCTCGGTCTCTAGATTCAGTTAAGACCAGGGTCATCCGCGGAAAGCCCTGGAAGGGCCTGGGGCGTGCGGCCTTGTCACTGGAATAAACTCGGAGTTCTCCACGGGCATCGAGCCTTTCCCTCACCAGCTTCCAGACTCTCACCCCACACCTGTCACTCCTTTGCTGCTATTCTTCCATGTTGTCCAAGGCAAGAGAATGCTAGGTCTGGTTTTTTAGTTCTGCTTCTCAGACACCGCTCCTCGCACCACCCCTTGTAGACTGGTCGTGTTTTTAGAAAGGACCATGATTTTGTGTGTGTGCCGCTCAGAATGGGAGTGTAGAGAAGGAGTGCACGGGCCCTGGGGCCTGTTCTCTAGAACACTGTTCAGCGTGTGTGTTCTCCACGGCGGACAGCGACATGCTGTCCAGCAGGATCTGGCCTCTGCTCAGGCTGTCTTGGCACCGTGACCTCACGTCACCCCTTGGAGAAGTCCCCGCATCTAGTGCAGTTTCCTCTGTGGTGGCCCCTGCTGCCTTGGGGACTCCGGCCCTCCCGCCTTCCTGGCAGGGTCCCTGCGCGGAGTCAGACTGTGGCCGGGGGGTGAAATCTGCGGCGCTTTGAATAGGTCGAAGAGCACCTTACGTGCTTGTCATCATCGTTTCCCCTGGAGGTCAGACGTCCGGAATTGTGGGAGCAGGAGTTGAGGGCGGCCCGTGGAGGTCGAAGGCAGAGACAGGGAAACACCTCCTACTCGCCGCAGAGACAGCTGACGGTGCTGGGGCGGCTGCCGTCTGGGGGTCACCGGGAAGGGGACTAGAAATGGGGGCACTCTGGCTCCTCTCCAGCAAAAGGCTGATCCTGCTGCAGCCCCCAGAAAAAGCCCCGAGCGTCGCAGGGTCATGACCGCTGAGGAGCCTGTCCTCTGGCTGGAGGGAGCAGGCAGAACAGAGCAAAGAGGGGCTTCGCTGAGCTCCTGGGTGTCGCACCCCAGCCCCCGCTGCGCTCCCCGGGGAAGAATTTAGCCACCAGGTTCCTGAGAGAAGAGAGTAAAATTGTGGAGGTGGACTGGGTTTCTGTGCTGGTAGAGAAGGGTCCTTCGGGGGCTGCAGATGGGGTCGTGTAGGTGATCGTCAACTTGGGGCGCCCCCCACCGCCCCCGGTGCCAACCACGCGGCAGGAGCGTCCCCACTGCCCGGGGGCGGGGGGGCGTGAGAACACGGGTAGAGTCTTCACAGCTGTGTTTCCCTCCCTGGGCTCTAGCTCATCTGTAGCCCGCTAGCCCCTGCAAGTGAGCCCTGCCAGGCACGTGAAGGGGCCAAGGACACGGCTGCACAGGTGTCGTGGGCGCTGCCACGCGCGCAAGAGCCGCCCTCCGCCGCTCGCTCAGGCTCGTTGGGTGGCATGCGGTGCCGGCGCCTGCGGGGGCTGAAGGCTGCCGTTCCGGGGGCACTGGCTGGCTGCAGCCTCCCTGTCGGCGCTGTGGCAGACGGAGCACTTTGCCTTTGGAAGTGGGAGCTTGCGCCTCCGGGCATCAAGATGGGTCTGAATATGAGGGAGGAAGTTAGGGCCAACCTGGGGTGACACGCGGAGGCCATGGTGGGAGGTGTGCGTTTGTCCGGAGCCGCGATCAGAGGCCCCTCCGTAGGAATCCAGCAAGTGGAGAGGCCGAGGCCGAGGGAAGGCCCGGGCTCTGGCTCGTTAAGTGCAATCTATCACTCGTTCCCTGGCCCACAGCGAGCCATCGGGGGCCTCACAAGGGCCAGCCTGGGAAAGAGAGGGAATTGCGGTTTTTAACAAACATAACTGTGACCCTGAGTCTGTCTAAAGGGGATTCTGACAGATAAGGCCAGGAGACAAGACCAATGGCATGAGAAACATCTTTAGAGATCAGTTTAATATTCTGGAACACTAACTGCTGGCCTGAGGATGGAACATGACCCTTTTTGTCACTGCTGCCTGATGCTCCCCTTGGCATGCCTGTTTTTAAGTTCGTCCTGGGCATGAGGCCGCGCGTCAGGCCACCCCTGCCGGGCTGGAGCTGAGGGCGCTCCCTGAGACCACTTCTCTCTGGCCATAAAATGACAGCTGTGCCAGGGTCCCCACCGGCTCGGTGGCTAACCCCCCAGGTCTGTTCCCCACTCCGACAGGCCAGCAGGCAGTGAGTTTCTCTCCTTTAAAAGGTCCCTTCCTCCCGCACTTGCTAGTAACTCCCCGGCTCAGGCCAGCCCCCGGCCCCTTCGGCTGAGTGGGCCTGCAGGCTCTCCCCCGCCTCGGTGCCTGCCTGCTGGCTTCACACCTAGCCACGTACCGATTCTGGATTCTGCCGCTCAGGCCCTAAGTTCGGAGGCAGTTCTTCTCCAGGGACTCAAAGCTGTTTTCAGTTAGAGCGGAAAGAATGTAACCCATCAGCCTGTCCTCTTGAATGTAAGAGTATTCTTGAAAGGAAGTTTCCTCCTCGTTGTCCTAAAGCAGCTTGGAATTTTTTAACACTTTCCATTCTAGGACACGGTTTCAGAAAGCCAGAAAACTAAAACAGAACTCGGTGACCCCCCGTCATCACCAAGAAAGCCTGAAGGGGTTGAGGGGGGGGTGGAGTGTATTTTCAAAGGTTTTACAAAGGACAGGGAAGTATGTAGTCCTCCGCTTGAATCAGATACTGAAAGGAAAACAGCTTGGCATGCTAATTAGAAGCTTCACTTCTCCAGAAACTTCAGTCATTTGTATTCCCTCCCACCTGAACACTCTGAAATTGAGCTATGGCTGAGTTTTCTGTTAGGCAGGCATCTGCTCTGTCAACAGGTCTCACCCTTCACCCCGATGTGTCCCCACTGGGCGGAGTGTGGCGAGCGGGTCTCCGTGTCCAGCACTGCAGCCCTGCCCTTCGCACGGGCTTGGGAACCGGCTGGTGCTGAAGCCTCTGGAAGTTCCAGTATTGGCACCCTGCTTTTTCCCTCTTCCGTCCTAGGCCCCCCGCCTCCACCCGTTGTTGAGAGGGGAAGCCCTACCTCCTAGCCCTGCTACAGCACTTGGCCTCTCGACCGGCGAGTGCGAAGGAGCATCAGCGGGTTGCCACACGCTTCGCACGTGGGGCTTTCTCGGCTTCTCCCTGCCACCAGATCCCTTCAAGGGGTGAGCTCAGACGTTGCACGTCGAATCCTGGGAAAGGTCTTTTTACCCACCTGAGATCAGGTCAAAAGCTGAAGTCCTTGGCTGTTCTCGGCACCGAGTAGGACACTGTGGACACGTCCCTTCTTCATGGCCACATCTGCCCGGTCCTCAGAGGGCTCTTGGGACACGGGGCCCCTCGTCCTTGGCCTCGGTGCTGTGTGGTTGCACAGCTGGACACACACTCTTAGCAAGCTCATGCTTTCCACAGTTGAAGATTTAAGTTAAGAATGAGCCTGAAGTGAGTCTAGTAAACCCGCTGGTTTGGGGCCCTTTGCTGGGAAGCCGTGACACGCAGGCAGGATGGAAATGAACAGTGTCACTGTCCCCAAGGGCTGTCTGCTGGAGGAGACCCAGCCTCATTCTTGTGCCCTTTTGAGAACGAGTTTCAAGTATCCTTGTTTCTTTATAAAGGGAAGAGGGCTCCCTTCTCGAAGTGTTCCAACAGAAGATGCTCGGCAGAGTAGGGGGAACAGGTCAGCACCCCTGCCCCTGCGTAGGGAGCCAGGACCACCTGCTCAGACGCAGCCTGGGCCCTTGTCCTCCACGCGTCCACACGGGCTTTGGGAAGAGAAGCCACTGCGTGCTCTGTGTGGACGCCAGCCTCTCTCTATTGAAAAGCAGCCATGTTTATTTTCTTTAAAAGAACCTGTACATTATCCAGAGCGAGCGGTGTAAATATTACTGGGAAGTTACCGCAGGGATTTTTTGTTTGTGACAAAGTTTGTGTTGGTTTAAAAAAATAAAATCCTATGCAGACCTCCCTCCGTAAGCTGGCGCGGACAGCTTTGGGTACAACCTTGAACTCCACCCAGCATTATAAGGAAATGTTTTTCATGGCTGATGTGTCTCTTTAAAAGCTGTGGCCACTTCACGGGGGGGCGGGTTGTAAAGAGTGTATGACCGTGAGCACAGTCGGCTGCATCCATGCCCTGTGCACGTGGCAAGAACACCGTGATGCTTGCCACCAGACCCCCCCCCCCAAGACCCCCCAACCCTCCAGGGAGAGCAGCACAGGGAAGAGGGGCCGTCTTCCCCACACCCTGGCCAGGCTCATGGAAGACTTGGAGGGAGAGGTCATTTCAAACACAGTTGTCGCAGGACCGGCCCGAACGGGTGACCTGTGAGCACTCGCCGGGCCAGGCGTCTTCATCTCAGCTCCCGGGTTCTATCGTGGGACAGCGTCAAGGGCGGCAACCTGGCCATGTGGTCACACCATCTCAGAACTGGATCGTCCTGTCCTCAGGCTGAGCCAGGAGGGCATGCAGGTCTCGAGGGGAAGGGACGCGGTCCGTGGGTGCTGGTCGTGGGGAGGGGGGGCGGGGAGGACGCAGTTGGAACGCCGCAAAGGAGCGGAGTTCTGGAAAGGCAGTGGTCGCTGGACACAGGGCACCTGTCACCTGTCCTGGGCCTCGGTTCTTTGCCCTTCAAAACTAGCAGCACACATTTCAGTTTTGTTTTATAGGAAGCTAGAAATAGATCATATAAAGAACACTAAAGTCATTATTGTGTCACGTTTCTATCACAAAACCAATTAAAGTGGATTTTAGGATTTACCTTTAGTATTAACGACTTATCTACTGATGTATTGTTAGGACTTAAAACCAGTTAAGTGATAAGAATTCATGTGGTTTTCCTAAGTAATATTTATAAAATGTAAAGTTTCTAAGTGACTCCTCAGCAACTGTAATTCTTAGTAACTTTTCTCACTAGTAGATTCTTCTCTTGGCGTGAATGTCTCCGGTCAGCTCCGGGGGACACCGTGCCGGCCGCGGGGGGAGCGGACGCACGGACAGGGTGCAGCGTGTACATACCGTTTTCTGCTCTGACAAGTTGGGAAATAATCCACAGCAGAGACTTCTGCCACCGCGAATTCTCTCAGCCGTCCGGTGATACTCAAACCACAGGCTTGTAGGAGTCTAACTGGTGTTTAATTTCTGTAATAACGCGAAGCGATAACGTTCACCAAACCCAAGTGCTGTGCGGAGGCAAGCAGAGGCTCGGGGAGTGCGAGCGGGTCCTGCAGGCCCACCTGCAGGTGCAGTGGGGCCCCGGGGCGGGGGGGCAGCTCCCGTCAGTTGCGCCGTGCTCCCCAACAGATGAGCCTGGCCGGCTGAGCCGCCCACCCTCTGTGACAAGTCACGATTGTGATGGTGTCCTTGCAGCTGTTTTTTTAATTAACAAAGTTTCTGAACGACTGTTCACTATAGTTTGAAGTGTTACTTTGTCAGAGTATTTATTCCTCTGTGTGACATGCTAGATTCCCGTGGATGTAGCTGATCATTTCTATTTTGTAAATATTACCTAACTTTACATAAACTATATCATAATAAACTATTTTTGCATCACCCTTTGCATGCCGTGAATGAGATTTTGTATAATGGAGAGACGTGCAAAATATGCATTTAGGTCAACATTGTCAAAATTCAGACACTGGTCAGTAGCCTAGAGACTTCTACTGGAGTTTTTGTTTTTACTCTTTATAATCTGCTTATTTTTAAATAGTGTTTTCAGAGTTTGGGATTCGTTGTCAGCATTTTAAAATCAGGAGATTTCACATAAAAATCTGTCTGGCACATGTTCACATACAACACAGTATTTTACATCATGAATCGAATAAAGGGACACTGGCTCTGTTACAGAAACCTCCAGGGGAGGCCAAAAGCACGGGACGAAGTACTGAGGAGACAAAGGAGCTCTACCACTGGCAATCAAGGAACTAGAATTCTCTCATCTCTGCGCCTTTATTATTATATTTATCTAAAGTGTTACTTTTTGTTTAGAAAATACATCGTACCTCATGACCAAATACACACACGTACACCCCAACCACAACCCAACATTTCACAAAACAACGCACCCTTACTACAATATGCTATGATGTCTACATTCTATTTAATTTTTTAAAATTCTGGTTGTGACCTACTGAGTAAATTTAAAATAAGAAACTGGAGTTTTCCAATACTGCCACAACCTTTGGAATGACGTATGTGGAAATCCAAAGTTTTATTCAAATAAACACAAAAATTAAAATCACTCTACCAATTGGAAATCAACTTATGGAATTCACAAAACTTAGAAAAAATAGAGTACAGACATATAAAGGATACATACTTCCAGTGTGCTATTCTAATTGTTTGTTTAAGGATGTTTCAATAATTTCTTGTCTGTTAAGAAAATTCTAGCCACTGGTCTGATGTAATGGTGTTGTAAAAGCTTGAAGACACTTCTTTTTAAGCTATGTCAGTGCAGTTTTGAACATCAGTTGGCATTTGGAAAATCCAGCACCCTTTCATGATGAAAACACTCAGCAAACTAAGAACAGAAGGGAGCTTATTCAATATGATAAAGAACATCTATTTAAAAAAAAAAG